ATGTGTTGTGGGCTGGCTTTGAACTCCTGGTTCTGTAGCCTTGGCAGAGGTTGAATTTGTGACCTTCTTGCCTCAGCCTCCTGAATAGCTGGGATTATAGGCCAACATCTTCATGCTGGGTGTGCCCAGTCTTTTATCAGGATTAAATGAAGCATTTTATGTTCTGACATTAACATTAAGACATTGTTTCTGGGAGTTGATAAATCCAGTGTGACTCTTTGGGCTCCGATGAAATACTAGCCTTCACAGTAGAGTGTGGGCAGGCTGGAGGGACACCCCCTCCAGTGCCTGTGGGAGATGATTTTTCTGTAGGCTGTAGGACCCAGGAAGTGAGATGAATCTGAAAAGGGAACCAGTTATAATTTGGGGAAGTGACTTTTCCTCACACTTCCAGAAATTGGTGGTTCTCAGGGTTTGATTGAGTGGGCAGTGCCGGAGGCCTCTCTGAACAAACTACACGGATATATGAGATTATCACTCTGACCTGTCATTGTGCATTCTAATAACAGGAAAACTAAAAATCCCAGGAAGGAAAATGCTTTCCCTCAGGACCAACACCCTTATGTGTGGAAGTTACTGGAGACTCCAGAGAGCTTTTGTTCCTGTGGATTGTTGGTGTCAGTGTCGCTCCCCTTATCCCTTGAGTGTGTGTATGTGTGCCTGTGTTTGTTTCTGGGCATGAAGCCCAGGGTTTGTGCATGCTAGGCAAGTGCTTAACCCACTGAGCCCCCTCTCCCCCCAACTCCCGACACCTGGCTGGTGTTATTTAACACACAGCTGCTGCTGTGTTTGGTCTGTTGGGCCATGTGTCAAATACTTCTGGAAAAGAGAATTGAAGTGAGGAGCTTGCCATACCCCTTCCTGCCCCTCTTTGGGGTCTCTGGGACCTGCTTTTAAGACCGCACCTTGAACAGTTGATGGCCAGGGCTGCAGCCAGAATATCCAATGCTTCCCAAGGTAGCTTTCTAATCAAGACAAGTTGGCTTAGTCCTCATGGCGGCAGTGAGAGAGTTGAGCAACCAGTCTGGATGCTGGGCCATTCTAGCAGCCTGCTTCAACTTTTAAGTCACCAGAGGAGAGTTGAAATGTTAGATTTCAATCAAAGGAAACCCAGAATGACATTGTAGGAAGCATGCTTGTGTCTGAGACCTTCGCTCTGAGCAGCCACACAGGTCAAGTTCAGATCAGACTGAAACTTGCTGGGCCAGCAATGGAGCATTGACATAGATGACCAGCTCTCCTGAAGTTCTAGAACCACGCTGCTGTGTCTCTGGCCCTTGCCTGTACTTTCTCACCTGACTGGAGCCTGGGCATATTGCAGTCTTATCTAAGTATATAGAAGTTCATCTTATCACCTGAATGTGTGACCATTTGAAGGAAGAACTTTGCCAAAATCTTTTTCTTTTGAATTGGAGGTCTCACAAAGCCAGGATGGGGGATACACACAGTTCAAGTTCTGTAAGCTGGACTCTGTAAGGAGACAAGTATGTCATGCCAGTGAAGGTCTCTGGGAGCCCACTGAGTGGAGAGACAGTCAATGCCATGTATCTGTTTCAGAGAAATGTCTGCAAATGGAACTGAGGGCAACACTGCCTCTTCTCTCAGTTTCTAAGCAACTTAGCTGTTGCCATGGTGATTTATTCCCCAGGAAGCAGATGCAGTAAGCTTTGGAATGCAGTTGCTCCGGGAGCCTGAGCTTTTTTCTTCTTACTCTTTCGGTATTAGCACAGGTTACATAAAATTGTTAAAAGGAAGGGCACAAGGATGGTCCCAAGTAAAGAGGCTATTCAATGAATAGGGGGTAGCATGTTCTAGGCCAGGTGGTTTGCATGTGCCCTCTCTCAGCGGAGGAAGGCCTGATGAACAATAAAGACTTGTGTGGAGATATTCTGGAGAACAGAATGGTTGATTAGGCATGTGCATCAGTAGGGTTTAGCTTTGACTGCAAAAAACAGACACCTAGAATTAGAACTTCTGAAGTCTGATACAACTGTCTGCCACAGGCACTCAGGAGCATGGTGGTCTAGCTTTGACTCTCCTCCAGAAGACCTCCAAGATAGACTCTCAGCTTCACGTTTTGCATCCTTGAAGTCTGGTCTTTTTTCCCTTCCTGGTCCAAAATGGCTGATGAAGTTATAGCCAATGCATCTAAGTTTCATGTAAGATGTAATGGCCTCTCATGAACAGACCCTGTTGCAGAGGAGATTGCAAAGCATAGACTTTCATACTGGCTTCAGTGTGCTGAGTTAGACATCCACGCTCGTCGTGTGGGAGAAGTGAGATGGGTGTGGGGAATGGCTGTCTTGTAAGGGTTATTCTGATTTTAAAAGTAGCCTGAGGAAAGTGGTTTCATGCTGAAATGCAAATACTAGAACATGAGCTTTGCTCTCCCCTTCCTTCTTCCTCCCCCTCCCCCACCCCACCAGTGGTGTACACTTGGCCACATAAATCTCACAACTTCCCAGGTACCAGAGACTCCATGTGCTTCCTAATTTCACCTTCACAGAGATCCACAGATGGTTTCCATTTTTGCAGATGATTGACGTGAGCACATCATCAGGGTTAGAATAAACGGCCAAGCTGGGAGTTCTACACTGGTTGGTCTCAGCTGTAGTCCTTGCCCTTCAAGAAGAGAAGATTGTGTAGAAGTAGGGGAAGTGTTTCTACGTGGGATGGGTTGCTGGACTGGGATGATGGCTCAGCAAGCATGAGGACCTGAATTTCATCCCTAGAACCCACAAGCCACATACAGTGGTATCTAATCCCAGCACTGAGGAGGCAGAGACAGGTGGATCCTGGGGCTTTCTGGTGATGTAATATGTGAGCCCCAGGTCCTAGTGAGACTGGACCCTGTGTCAGAAACCTAGGTGGATGGCTGCTGAGGAATGGCACTTGTGACATGCACATATATGTGCACAAAATAAAGAAGTTCCAGGTATGAACTGAACAGTGAGCCTGGTGTAGGGAGTTCCTTGGAGGGTAATTAACTGGTAGCTACTGCTCAGTGTTACAGGTCATAATGCATTGTAACTGCAGTGTTTGCTCCTTGCTGGGCTCCCCTTGGTCTGACCTCCCAAGAACTTGTTTAGCCCCTAGAGAAACCAGAACTGTTTTCTCGGCTCCTGGCAGGTGTCCTGGGGCTCACTCCCCTTGCTTGACTCCTGGGACTTGGGGTCAGTGGCTAACAGCCTCTGAGGTTGTTGGCTGTCTACAGCTGTCCAAGTGTCTGCTCTCCCATGTCCCTGATAAAATAAGTAAATGTCCAGTGGGCCGAGAGAACAGCTCCGGTCCAGTTGGTGTGAGCCCTATGTTCTGATCCGGAGAGTGGGTCACCGGGAGGTCCTGCTGCTGCCACAGCTGCAGATGATGACAGTGGCACTCATGTATTATGTGACGGCACATGTTTTATAGGTGCTGGGTAATGCTTGCTGATCCCTTGAAGCAGGTACGAGCAATAACCCCATGTACAGACTTCAGGAGGCCAAGATCTCCAGGGCACATGACTAGAAGTGAGCACCACCTAAATAGTGCAAGGTCACTCCAACCAGGCTGGGACGGGATTGCCGGTTACAGTCCCTGGGAGATGAGGTGGTTGTGTTTAATAGGATCATCTTGACTCTTCACAGTCCCCTGACATCAGAAGCTTTGGTTTAAAGGTGCACACACAGGCTTGGAAGAGCAGTAGCTTGCTTAAGGCTGTTTGCACAGGAAGTGGCAGAGCTGGACCTGGAGGAGGCAGGTCATGTTCTGTGCCACATCTAATTAGATGTTGCCCAGTAGATGTGATGGGTCTAAGGAGTCCTAGTCTGAAGCTTTAAATCCTTCAAGATGTCTCAAGAGTACCCAGACCACACAGGGCTCTGTGAGCAATCCTTGCCTCCCAGCCTTCTGGTTTTATTAGTGTGTGTGTGGGATGGAGTGTGGGGTGCGTTAAGTATACGTGTGCCATGATGTGAGTGTGGGGGTCAGAGGTCAACTTGTGGGGCTTTTCTCCTATCATACGGGTCCCAGGGATCTGACTGGGTTGCCAGGCTTGGCAGCATGCACATCTTACCCATTGAGCCATCTTGATTCATTTTGTTTTGGAGACAGGATCTTGTTAAATACCAGCTGGCTTCCATAATCCCCATTTCAGCTGTCCAAATGCTGGGCTTTCAGGTGTAAACCACTATACCTGACTTCTGAGTGTTTCCTAATTTTTTTTTTTTTATGTTGTTTATGGCACGTGTGCAGGTTGTGAGAGTCAGTTCTTTCCACCAAGTGGGTCCCAGGGATCAAGCTCAGGTCTTCTGGCTCGGCAGTGAGCACCTTCACCCGCTGAGCCATCTCACCAGCTCTCTGGGAGTGTTTGGAGTAGGATCTGGGGCTGCTGTGAAACAAGGCCAGACTCCTGTCAGCCTTTCTTAATACCATATAATTCTGTTGATGCCTAGTTTTATATTAGATTGTTTTATTATTACATTATTTGCCAGGACTGGGGGTTATTAAATCCTGGTTCCACATGTGCTAGGCAAGCACACTGTTTGCCATTGAGCTATATCAATCATTTAGCCATGAGACAGACTAGCCCCAATTTATAGTAGTTCTTCCTCAGTCTTCCTAGTGCTGGGACTACAGGCATGTGTGACCATTGTGACTTAGAAAGGTTTTCATGTGGTAGTCATGGTTGGCCTGGAACTAACATGTGTTTGGATCAAGCTGGCCTTGAACTCACAGAGGCCTTTGTTAGCCTCACAAGTGCTAGGATAAAAGCTGAAGCCAGATGTGTCGGCTTACCTCTTCATCTCAGCACTGGGGAGACTGAGGCAGGAGGATTTGAGTTTGAGGCAAGCCTTGGCTACACTGCATATGGAGGCCTTATCTCAGAAAACTAAATCGGGGAAGGAAAGACAGCAGTGCCTACCTCTTCCCTCCCCTGAGGACAACTAGCAGCCAGGCCCTTGACTTGAAGTGTAGAGTTTAACTTGTGCTTGCTGAGTGCTGTTGATGTCCTTACAGACATGAATAACAGCAGGTTGAACCAGGAGCCACTAGGAGCTCAGGTAAACACTCTAAGAACTTTCTTAGAGGTAGCTAACCAGCCACCTCAGAAGGAAGTTGGTTTTGGTTTTTAAGGGCAGGGTGTGAGAGGGTGAGACAGAGGCTACAATATTGCCTGGAAACATTTTTTTTTTTTTTTTGGGAAATAACTGTTGGGAAAGTGGTTTGGGGTAATTTCTTGAAAAAGATTTATTTTTGTTTTTGATTGTGGTGTGTGTGTGTGTGTGTGTGTGTGTGTGTGTGTGTGTGTGTGTGTGTGTGTGTGTGTAGGCAGCAGATTCATGGTTCATGTGATAGTATCTAAAGATGTTCAGACTGTCAGGTGAGCTTGTTCAGGGAACCCCAGTGGAGTTGGTGGATGCAGTAACGACGAGCACATCATTCACTCCCTTGGTCTTCAGGAAGAGCCTGCTCATGGATCCGTGTGTGGGCCACGAGTTTGTTAAATGCAGGCAGGTGACTCTCTGGGTGTTCAAGGTGAAGCAGTGTGACTGAGGGCTATGGGGTTTTCTAGTTTGACTTAGGCCAAGTATTGGTTCTCATGCTATCCCATCATCTTCTGTGTCTGGCAAAATCTCTGGGTTGTTTGTTTGCCTTTGGTTTTGAGATCTGATTGTGTAGCCCAGGCTGACCCCAAACTCACCATCCCCTGTCTCAGCCTCCTGAGTGCTGGGATTGCTGTAATTAGATTTTGAGGATTGAAAAACCTGATACTGTTTATAATAGGACAGGTTCTCTACCTGGCCGGCCATTTCTGTGATGCAGAAGTGACTGCTCAGGTGGCAGGCAGGGCTAGTCCTTAGCACCATGGTCTTGTGTATCAGGCTTGTTGGAAAGGGACCCCCCTCCTCATACCAGTTTTTCCTTTTTTTTTTTTAGCTCTGACCACCCCTGTCCAAGACCCGAAGGTATGTGCTGGGGGCTCAGCGGTGCTGTGCAGAGACCTGAAGACAGCAGTGGAATGTGGGGCCTTGAAACACTGCCAACAGATGGTGTGGAGCAAGCCCACAGCGGTGAGTGCCAGCCACATGCTGCCCTCTGCAACCTCCCAGTGTCTGTAGAGCACTTTATCCTCATCTCCTTGGGGACCCTGTGGCAGATAGGACCCGCCCCTGGTTGTGTTCAGCTTACCTTAGAAGTGGAGACTCAGAGTCCTGTCCCTTTGGTTCCCTGTGTCTTGGTGGTCCCACACTCCCTTGTGGGCCTTCCTTCAGGTCTCCCTCCTTCACAGGTGAGGGGCTGGTGGGTTGTGGTGCAGGCACACAGGCAGGTGTACCCAGCCTTCATCGTTGATCCCAGGAAGCTCAGACCCCATCTGCTCACCCTCCCTCATCCCTCAACCAGGCAGACCACTGAGACCACAGAGCCCTGAGACCCAGCTGTAGCAATGCTGTTTTATTTCCAGCTGTAACTGGGCTGGCAAAGATGACTGCCATCATGTCAATGAGATGACAAATGGAGGGCTCTGAGAGATGGGCAAACTTGCCATGCGTTCTTATCTGTCTCAAACCTCAGGGACTAAGCATAGAATAATGGGGCTGCTACTGGCTTGTGCTGGGACGCGCCAGTGGAAGTGGCTGAGTTTGACTTAGTGGAGTTTGGGTTCTGAATTTGTCAGGACTGATTGCTCATTTTTAGCAAGAGAAGAAAACTTCAAATATTGCTGGGTTCTCATTTGCTTCCAGTCCTTTAGCAAGTTCCAAGCGTAGTGAGTGAGGGCTGTGGAACCTTCTGAATCAGTAGCAAGGCAATGATTAGGACAGCACCTTGAGGGTGGGGGAGTTTGGGTCCATTGTGTGACTTGTCCAGATATACAGAACTTTCTCTGTCACATTCTTTTCCTCTTAGAAATCCCTTCCATGTGACATATGCGAAACTGTTGTCACTGAAGCTGGGAACTTGCTGAAAAATAATGCCACCCAGGTGAGCTACTGCAGAGGAGGGTGGGTATGGGCTATGGCTGGAGGCTGTGTGTTTCTAAGACACCTGTCTGGCTCTGGGCTCCAGAAAAGAGTGGTGTTGGCTCAGGGCTGGCAAACATTGACATGTCTCACCTTGTAGGATACACTAAATCTGACTGAGCAAGTTTGTTTTATTGTTAAAGATTTTGTTTTTAATTGTTTTTTAAAAGATTTTTTAAAAGTTTTTCATGTGTGTGAGCGTTTTGCCTGCATGTATGTATTTGTACACCTGTGCCTGGTGCTCAAAGGTCAAAAGAAGGCATAGAATCCCCCTGGGACTGGAGCTGCAGGTGTTTGTGAGCCACCATGTGGGTGCTGAGAGCCGAACCCAGGTCCTCAAGAGCAGCAATTGCTTTTAACTGTCTGGCCATCTTGCCTCCTTTTTTTTTCTTTTTCTTTTTTGAGGCAGGGTGTCATTACACAGAGAACTCCTTATGTAGAGCAGGCTGCCCTCAAACTAAGATATGCTTGTCTCTGTCACCCGAGTGCTGGGATTAAAGGCTACAGTACCGGCTCTTTTTTTTTTTTTTTTTTGGTTTTTCGAGACAGGGTTTCTCTGTATAGTTTTGGAGCCTGGCACTCGCTCTAGAGACCAGGCTGGCCTCGAACTCACAGAGATCTGCCTGCCTCTGCCTTCCGAGTGCTGGGATTAAAGGTGTGTGCCACCAATGCCCGGCCAATACCGGCTCTTTTGTCTTGCTAGGTAGCCCAGGTGTTTCTTGAACTTGTTGTCTATTGCCTTAGCTGTATGAGTGCTGGAATTGTAGGAAGGTACCACCACACTCAGCTTTAACACCATCATTTGTGTGTGTGTACATGTGATGTGTGGGTGTACTCATCTGTGTGTGGGCATATGGAGGCTGAAGTTGACTAGGTGTCTGCCTCTCTCTCTCTTCATTTAATTCACTAAACATGGGTTTGTCATATCAGCTAAACTCTCTGGCCAGCCACCTCTTGGGATCTGCCTGTTTTCATTCCCCAGATAGCACTGGGGTTTGAGGTGTGCTTTGCCAACCATGGCTTTTATGTATGTGGGTGCTGAGGATCTAAACTCAGGCTTTCTTGATTGTTGCTGGAGTCAGTGATAAAGGACCTTTTATCTTGCATTGTGTCCCTTTGCAGGAAGAGATCCTTCGTTACCTGGAGAAGGCCTGTGAGTGGATTCATGACTCTAGCCTCCAGAACTCGTGCAAGGAGGCGGTTGATTCTTACCTGCCTGTCATCCTGGACATGATTAAGGGGGAGATGGTAGGTCATTGGGGGAGGGCCCAGAGCAAAGGGGCTGAAAAGGGAAGTGTGTTCATGGCTTTGCATTTCTGCTGCAGCTCTTCACAGGGCTTCTTGTGGGGGATAGCTATGGCATGGTGGCTTTCCTGTCTGTGCTTTGCAGGGGCCAGGGTGCCTTGGACTCCTGCATCCTGTTGATAGATAGAAATCCGTAACTCTTGTCAGGCCTCTTTCTAGAGCAAGCACATGGCTTCATCTCTGTGTATGTAGAATTGAGGACTAATTCTGGGGATGTAGTATGAGGGCAGCTGCTAAGATGCTTGCTTGTCAACAGCATGTGTGTACTCTGCCCAAACTGGGTGCCAGAAGCTAGGAGTCAGCAATGAACCAGGAGCTAGTTTTGTGAAATATGAAAGGCCTTCAGGAAGGAGAGGTGCTGAAGAAGCCAGCCACCGGTGCTAATAGTGCTAAAGGTTTTGTGAGGAAGGTGGGCACGTGACACAGAGTCTTCTGTGTCCCATGGCAAGACCCCCCAGAAAGAACACTACAGCATTGCTGGAGGTGTTGTGGGGACAGTGGAGATGGACAGATGCACATTGGGTTTTGAAGAATGAATAGATTGGCCTTACTCATGGAGGGGGAATACAGGAGCATGAAGGGCTGGGAACATTTCTGGGTCTCTGGGGAGTTGGGAGTGGAGTCTTTTTTGTTAAAATGGCCATGCAAGGGAGCAGGTTGAATGGGATAGAATTGGGTGTAAACTGGAGATGCTCCTAAGGTAGTCACGAGTATGAGTAATAGTAAGAGATGAGAATTTGTGAGTCACGTGGAAGGTGGTGGTTTGAAACCAGTGGGTTGTGTTAGCTTGCTTGCAGCTTGTGAGCGGACCATGGCCATCACTCAGTTCCTGACCCTTTCCCTTCTACTCAGTGGCTAATCTCCCTTTAAGGAAGAGCTGCAGTGAGCTGCAGAGACATTTTGGGGCTGGGAGGCCTCTGTAGGTTAGGTACGGTGGTATAACTTTTCTATTCGCATCCTAGGTGCCCTGAGTAGTATAGTGTTCTTTTTAATGGACACAAGGGAGGAACTGACTGATGATGCAGGCTTCTCTTGCCCTGTGGGGCTGGCTTTCAGCTGTCTCTTCTCCCTTCCAGAGCAACCCTGGGGAAGTGTGCTCTGCACTCAACCTGTGCCAGTCTCTCCAGAAGTATTTGGCTGAGCAAAACCACCAGAAACAGCTTGAGTCCAACAAGATCCCGGAGGTGGACATGACCAGAGTGGTTGCCCCCTTCATGGCCAATATCCCTCTCCTGATGTACCCTCAGGATCACCCCCACAGCCAGTTCCAATCCAAGGTTAGCTGAAGGCGGGTGGAGTCAGGGTGAGCACAGTGGGAGCATCATACACAGTGCTGAACAGAACTACTCTGTTCTGTCCCTTGACTTTAGTTTCTAAAGAATAGGATATTTTAAATATGCAAAGATGCCTACCCCTTACTGAAGCATAGCCTCTCCATGCCATGCCCTATTGCCAGCCCCATGTAGTACTGTTACAGAATGATTGGCCTGGAGGTTAAAAGCCTGGCTCCCAGGAGCTGTTAGTAAGTCAGTCATCTATAGTGAGATGTGGCTTTCTGCTATTCTCTTTGTAGATCAACGATGATGTCTGCCAGGACTGTGTGAAGATGGTGACTGACATCCAGACTGCTGTGAGGACCAATGTTACCTTTGTCCAGGGCTTAGTGGAGCATGTCAAGCAGGAGTGTGACCGCCTGGGGCCAGGCATGGCTGACATGGTGAGCCTCTGGCGCCCCCATACTTTGGATGTGTTCTAGGCTAAGGTGGGAGCAAGTAGTGACCATCCCACTGACTGAGGAAGAGGTGGTTTGGCGTTTCCCTTTCCCTAGCTGCTTTTAGTGGGGTGTGGATATATTTTGGTTAGGTGAGTCAGCACTGGAAGAAACCACTTTGGTAAATTTTTTTTTCCTTTTCTGTCACCGTCCATTGGAAACATTAGAACCACTTTTTTTTTTTTTTTTTTTTTGTTACCTTCCCTTGGGAACATTTTAACCCCTTTTTTTTTTTTTTTTTTTGTTACCTTCCCTTGGGAACATTTTAACCCCTTTTTTTTTTTTTTTTTTTGTTACCTTCCCTTGGGAACATTTTAACCCCTTTTTTTTTTTTTTTTTTTTTTTTAAAGTAGCTGATTTGTGTGTGTCTGTGCGTGTGTGGCACAGCACCTGTACGGCTGTCAGAGGACAACCTGTGGGAATTTGTTGTGGGTCCTCAGGGATAGAACTCAGTGGCCTTGCCTTTCCCCACTGAGTCATCTTGCCAGCTCTAGAACCTGTTTTTAAAAGCATGGCTGTGGTCTGTGAATGAGGCTTTCAATCCTGCTTCCCCCAGGAGTGGGCTACCTCATAACTGCAGGACATTGGTTCTGTGGCCTCAGCACCCTAATGAACATGTGAATGGCTTTGGAAGGTTCTTAACAGTGTTTTGCAGCTACATTCTCTAGATTGCTAATATAACAGTGGCTTCATGGCCTTGGGGCATTTAGCCTGTCAGTCACTGAGGACTGAGGACTCCAAGGTCTTTTGTTACAATATCTCCACAAATTTTATAGGGGGTAAATAACCAAATTGCTGTATTGTCTTAGTTAATCTGAGGTGATGCTTAGATTTATTCTGGGAATTTTTTTTTTTCCTTGTGAGAGCAGGTCTCTCTGTGTAGCTCAGGCTGGCCTCAACCTCTGGCTGCTGCGATTATGGGCCTATCTATGTCCATGTGCTAGTCAGTCACCAGTTGGCACTGTTGAAATGCCATTTTGGGGTTTGATGAACTGAACCTCTGTCTTTGCAGTGCAAGAACTACGTTGACCAGTACTCTGAAGTTGCCATTCAGATGATGATGCACATGGTAGGTGGCCAGGGACCTCTGGTTAGCATTCACAGTTGGCACCGCCGTGCTTTAGAATCCCCCTTTTCCAGTTGGGGGCCAAAGTAAACTCTTTGTCTGGCAAACTCCCTATTCATGACCCTAGCCCATCCTCCTGCCCGCAAAGTCTTCCTTAGCTGATGCGATCCTGGACTGCCCTGATAGCTGTCAGTCTGTGCATGTGTGATTTGTGCTCATCAGATTGCTAGTGTCTGGCTGAACGCTGGGATCTATAGGGATATCGTGCTCTGCCACTACACCAGGGTGGGAGAATTCAAAGGGCAGCCTGTGTTCTGTGTTGGGAGGGAAGGAATCCCACTTGGCAGAGCTGGATCTGCCAGGGTCAGCTAGAGTTGCTGCTAATTTCCCCAGCTCTTGTTGGGTGGTGGCTCATTGCCTGTGAGAAGTGGGAAACGTGGAGCATGGGAGACAGCCACACTGGTGGTCAGCACTGGCAGAGCTGAGTGGGAAGCACGTGTCTCCACACTCTCATGGACTGCTGTGAAGCCTTGTTCATGCTTGGACATAGGCCCTTTCCTACTCTCTGTATAGTTACCACCCAGCGCTGGCCTGACCTGCTCCACAAGCAGGCCCTCTGGCCAGGTGGCTTGTTTAGGATCGTTGCTCATGCCCTGGATAGTAAAAACATCTAAAGGCAGCTTATAAAGACCTCCATGGTAAAGATAAACCTTTGATGTGGCCGAGTGAAGTTCTTTCTTCTGGGTAACTTCCATCATTTTTATTAAAGGGGAGGGTTAAAAAATGTTTTATGTATCAAATACCAAATCATTTGAGTTTTGAAAACATACGAATATATATAGATATATTTATTATTTTAGGGGAAATATGGTTTCCTTTGCCTTTTCCCCTAAATATGATGGTCTCATTTTGTAGCTTTTTGGCCTGAGATCTACCTGCCTTCACCTCCCAAATGCTGGGAGTAAAGGTGTGCACCATCATATCCAGCTGGTCATTACATTTGTATTCAGCTGCATATTAATCCAAAATGTGGACAGAGTGTCATTTCTGTGACCTCTGTGGGTAAAGTAGGCCGCTTCCTTATTTATAGCCATGTGTATGCATCATCCCTGTTTGTCACTTAGGATAACTGAAGCTGGAATTACTAACTAAAGCCCACACCTCCACCTTCCAGGCTGGCATCTGGCCTGAGGTTGGGGAGTTTGCTCTGTGTAACCCTCAAAAGGTCAGGTGTGATTAGCTCTGGCGATGGAGGCCCTTTACAGGCACAGTTTCCACCAGCTGCATATGCATAGCATGGCCTGCCCTTGAGGGCTGGACTAGCTGCCTAGGCCCCATCGTTCCCTTACTGCCAGGGTGTTGCCCTTAAACTTTGACATCCTTTTGCCTGGGAACTGCTTAATTGTTGTTTTGACTTTTCTTAACTGTTGTGTCCTTTCCTTTCTCTTATTTCACCTCCGATTTCCTGTTTTTTTGTTCAACAGCAGGATCAGGTATGTGATGAGATTTTGCTTGTGGTAGTGGTCTGCTGCTTCTAGTTGTTGGCTCCCCCCCCCTTTTTTTTTTTTGGTCTGGCATGGTGAGTTCTGAGGTACAGCAAAGGATCTCCCTATACAAGGCCCCTTCCCTGAGACTGAGCGCTTTGGGTCATGGGGGCTAAACTCCCCCTTTTGGAGAGCCGGAAGGTGGTGAAGCTAGCAGGTACCTATGCTCAGGTCAGCACCAGCTCACATGCCAGTTGCCAGGATGATGACGGCAATGCCTTAACTTCCTTCAGTGAAGGGAGGCACTGGCCCTGGTAGGACACCTGTGTCCTTCACACTGGGCGACATTGCATGACTTTGTGCTGTTTTCCTAATCCCAGAAATGCTTCTGCATGAGCAAACTAGATGCTGACAGTGGCTTGACTTGCTGGATGGAGAGACTTGTACATGGTCTCTCAATTGTGGCTTCTACCCTTTAGGGAATGGGTCATGGGGCCTTGTTGGATGGCATGTTTAGTTCATAATAGCTGAGCCATTGCCCTTTTGGGTCTGTTCTGAATATTGCCTTCAAGCAATATTGTGTTCTAGATGCTGGAAGGCATTTTGAATCTCGCAGGAAAGCATTTAAATTGAAATGCCTGAATTTTCATTTATGCTGCCTCAGAGACAGGCCCCCTAAATTTTGTCATTCCACTTCCCACCACTAAAAAAGATTTTCTACTCTTAAAGTATGTTAAAGACAGGGAGTTTATGACACATGGCCTTAGTTCTCTAGCCTCAATCATACAGGTGGACCATGGCCATGGTCTAGCCCTCAGCATCGTTGCTCCCATGCTGGGCTCAGAGCTGAGTGCTGTCTGTTCCTGGGGCTTGCTGTTGGCTTTGGCAGTGTGACGGACAGTCAGAATATTGACACTGGGTTCTCTGTGGCTTGGTGTCTAGATGGTGAGGGGATCTGCTTGAAGACCTTGTGACTGGAAATGCCTCAACAGCTTGGGTCCTGGGTTCTCCCGTGTACTTTGTGCATTTGTAAACAATGAAATATGGCTTTTAGGAAAAGACGGCATTTCTTCTCCCCACTGCACCATTTTAAATGTTGTCACACTGAAGCTGTGGTTTTAATTCTGACACATTGGGCTGTCTGAGATCATGGGTCTTGTGGTTTCCCTCAAGTGGGCTGGGAGAAGTATGTAGCCCCCGCTGTCCTTGGAGCAGCAGAGGCTAAGAACCACTTCCTCCAGGTGGAACTGGTGTCCATGCACTGTTCTTTAGCTGGAGCCCTTTGGTTTGAATCTGAAAGCTCTTCCTGAGGGGGAGGAGTCAGCTTTATCTGCCAGGGCCTTAGCACCCTGACCTCGGTGTCTAAGGAGGGGTTTGAGAGTAGCAGGCACAGGCTGGCTGACAGTGACTATGCTTTCTCCAGCAACCTAAGGAAATCTGTGCTCTGGTTGGCTTCTGTGATGGGGTCAAGAAAGTACCAATGAAGACTTTGGTCCCTGCCCTGGAACTGACGGACTCCTATGAGGTACATTCTGTCACTGTTGTGTTCCTCTCCTCTGTTCTCAATGTGTAGCCACAGGTGAGAGGGCAAGGCATCTGATGGAATAGGGAATTGTCTGGGTACCACCTGTGTCCCATGTGCCGTGTCG